TCTGGCCGTCGTGTGCATGTACATACACATGGTGTCCCCTGCCTGACTGCCCTCCTGCTCCATCCCTCCCCTCCCCGCAGCCCCTTGCAAGCTGGAACTCTGCCAGCCTGCAGAGAGCTCTTTGCAAAAGTGCAAAATCTGTGGGTTTCTCTGTTAAAATTAATAATCCAAATTTTTTTCAGCTAAAAGGGAAAATTCATGGGTTTTTTCCATGGGAAATGGAAAACCAGGATCCTTGTTTATAACCATGGTTCTCAACCAAGGTGACGATGGCACATTCAGAAAAGTTATGGAGCATACCTTAAGCCTAAAAAGGTTCAGAAGCACTGCCTAGGAGGTTAGAGAGCCACCTAGGCCCAAGCACCTACCTTATAACTGCAGCTTCCAGGTGGCTTCTGATCTGTAAAGTATATACCCTCACAACACCCTTGTGGAGCATGGCAGTTTTATGTACCCCGTTTTGGCAGAATGGGTAACTGAGGTGGAGGGAGGAACTTTGCACAAATACAAAAAAGTAAACCCTCACCTCTTGCCTTACATGACCAAAGCACTTCCTGGGCTCCTTGTAGTGCTGTTGTCCTAGAGTAGCTCTGACCGCTGAAACAGCTGCTAAAATAAGAGAGGTATCAGAGGAGGAGTGGACAGGAAGGGGTGTGGGTATGTGTGTGGTGGAAGACAGGGAAAGGGTGGAGGTTCTTGCTGGGGAGAGGGAGAAGCATCTCTGCAGTTCCTGCATCAGTGGAGAGACTTGGCAGAGTGAAGCGTATATCTCACAGGTTCTTTATTTTTGTCTAACTCTGCTGTTGAATTAAGCGTGTGATAGCACTGAATTGAGCCAGACGCTGGACTAGCAGATGCTATGCAAGCTTCCCACACAGCCTTGCCAGCGTGTCTCCGTCCTGACCTGCAAACGATCTAGCTATTCCCGTCCAGACTCTATCTTGAGCAGAGATTTCTGTGTGTGCCAGATTGCGTGGTGGTTCTCCAGTGTGAACAGATGGGACTAGGGGGCAGGCTACATCTGTTTCTGCCGGGTGAGAGTTCTTGGGGGATATATCGATCCGAGCTCAAATGTTCATTTTCTGTAATGCTTGCTATGCAGTGAGTTGCGAGTGAACTTGCACTGCACCTCAGTGTTGTGGCAGCGAAATGATGACAAGGAAAATACGGGATGCATCATCCAACCAGTTTTTTCCGCTGCTATCCGGGATGTTTTCTAGTGCTTTTGTCCACCCATCTTAAAAGTCCCAAGCAGTGACACTTCCTTTGGGCTGCTGTTCCGTACCCTAATGCATCTAATCGTCGGGACACTTCTCCTGACATTCAGCCTTGATTTCCCCTTCTTCGCTCTATGCCATCATTACTTCTGTTGCAGCCCATGAACCAGCCTAAAGCTCAGCGCTCAGCTGGGGCAGGGGGCGGGTGGTGGGGGGATGTTAGATTTTCTGCATGTAAGAGAAGTGGCCGGATTAGTAGTTGCATGGTGCTGAACGTTTTGGAAAATTTGGATCCCTAAATAAGTTGTGTTCCTGCTTGGCTTTCTCAGCCTTTAAATAAATATTTGTAGCCAGTTTTCTTCCATGTTTCCTAGCCAAACTATGCTTATAGCTCTTCAGTTTTCTTCACAGATCAATTCCTTCTTGCCCCTCTGCACTGAATCCTCTGTTGTGACAAGAGGAAATTGAGAGGGGGTGGATCTCAACCACTTTTCCACTTGCTAGATTTTGGTCTTGCCAGGGATTGAGACAGCCCCCAGAATAAATTAAAATCACCTCAGGGCTGCTCCGAATTCAGCTCTGTGTAGCCTACAGGGATGGAGAGCTGGTAAGCGTGCCCTGCTCAGCGCCTGCATGGAGGCGAGGTGAGTGGGTGGTGTGGAGGAATCTCCTGTGGGACCGGGGACTGAAGACTGACCACAGGGATTTGTGTTGACTCCTTCCAGTCTGTCGGTAATCTTCTGACACAGACGTGCCTAGCCCTGGAAGACACTTCTATTCCCAGATTGTGTCAATCTCTAATACATATTGGCCTCATTTAAGGATCCCACAGATCTTCAAGCAGTGCCTGGGGATTGTTGGGGTGATCCTGACGATTTGCTGAGCGTGATTGGCATTTTTTTTTCATAGGTCTGTCCAGTACCACTCCTGCTTACTCATTTCAACAAAGTAAACCAGGTAGGAAGAAGGAGTGGAGATGGTAGTCAAAATGCCCTCGCCTTTTTAATGGGAGCAAAATGATACGCACATCTCGCATAGCTTCAGTCAAGTTCTAGTTGGCTCTATTCAACAATTGCTGAAACGGATGTCTCCAGCCAGCATTTTACTGCTGTTCTAAAGAGTCCAAGAAAGTTGTGACTCTGTTAAGTTACGTTTTCTGCATGGCTCTGTTTTTCTGCCTATCTGCAATGGCAGTTGTGTATCTGAGCTGGATGCAAAACATCCGTTCAGGAGTTAATTATTTCCAGTTACTGAATTTTAGCATGTGAATCTGTTGTGTGTAGTTGGCTATTCATGCATTTTAAAAATGAACATGTGATCCATATGTGTGATATTTAAAGATTTTTAGGGTGGCTTGCAAATTATACTTCCTCAGTGTTGCCTACACTTTTAACGTCACTGTAAATCTCACAGCATTTCTTTTATGGTTTTCTGTGTATGTTTTGGTTTTGGGTTCTCGTAGGTTATATTTTGTTTCCATAAAGCCCCAGCACCTGCAGTCTCGGGATTATGAATAAATCTCAATTTTAGTAAGATTTTTAGCCCTTTCAGTTGCAAAGAACCTGTTAAAAACATCAACTTCTAAAAGCACAAAAACAAAAGAATCACCTTAAATGTGTTTTTTTTTCTTAAGTTTGTCTTTTAATCTCACAATTTCAAGCCAATACTGTGATTCTTGAATGCTTGATGCTGATGGTACAGAGCCTGCAGGGCCCTCTTGGCTCCATGGGGATTCACCAGCTGGAAGTTATACTGCATTTCACTTGCTTACATTTCCTCCACTGCATGGTCTCCACTGCAGGAGGACAATCTTTAATTACTACCTGGGGTCTGCTGACAGAGATGAAGGGGAGGAGTATGTTGGCTCAGCTTATACTTCCCAGTCTTAAGCAATGTCAGGTTCACACAAATCCTGTAGTAAAAAGCAGGTTCTTGTTTCTTTGCATCTCTGCAACTTCCTTCATGTGTGGTAAAACATTGGCACTGTGTAGTCTAGTTTATGCCGGCAGAGTGGAGAGTTTGTAGCATAACGTACACAGCCTAAGCTGTAGGATATGATATATATGGCTCCCTCGTAGCCAGAGTTCCCATGCTGGCTCAGTTCTCCTGATACCCATCAGGTAAATGATTGGAGGGGAATCAGTGCATGATGGTGATTGCAGGGACAATATTGTCTCAGGGAATGCCCATTGGGATTGAGGTGGGGTCAGTTATGAAGAAAGTAGTCATCCGTCCTGGTGCTTTAATGACAGTGCTAGTGAATTCCAAGCCCTGGGATACAACTCAGATAGGCTTTGTGTAGGGGAAGAGTCTACTCTAGGTTGGCCTTGTACATTCAGTACCCCAACTACCCAGGCATGCCCATTGTTGTTTTCCCTAGATTTATGTTAGGGAGAAGGCGATTAAGTACATTTAAGATACAGTCGAGGATGTGGAAGAATCTTACTTTGGAAATGGATAGGTTCCAAAGGCACCAAATCCCCCTGGCCTCGTATAAGATCTAAAAGTAAAATCTCTTGGTGTTAGGGTATAGCTTGCCGCAGAGGAAGATAACTAATGATCTAGTTAGAGATGGTTCTGCTTTGAGCAGGGGGTTGGACTAGATGATCTCCTGAGGTCCCTTCCAGCCCTAATTTTTTATTATTCTATGATTCTATACCAGCATATAATGGAAATGAGCTGAGTGGCTGATGTCTAATCCTATGAATTTCTGAGCACCACCAGGGTGGTATAGACCACACTACGCTCCAGCTGGGGACTGTGGTTGATCAGTAGCATCCCAGAGATACTCTACACCATTCAGTCAGGCTGCCTATTGGAGACTTCATGTAGTGCAGTGAGACAGCCTGTTGCAGTGTGTTAATTAGCTGCAGGAGGGCTATTTGAAATAATGGGCACAATTTAAATGGCTTCTATAGGACATGGTATGACTACCATTTAAAAGGAAAGTTGTGTCTGTGTGTAAGGACCTTATTTGACCCTGTATTCAGTGTAGTGGGCCAATCTCATCTCTGCGGTGAATTCATTACAATCCAGGAATGAATAGATCTAGGTCAAGCTTGCCCCAACCTATCTGCCTCCTCAGCCATTTCCTTGCATTGTATTATTATTATTTTCAATTTGAAATCCAGAAAGATGCCAAAAAAAGAAGAGGCGGTAAGGGTCTTGGAAGAGGAGCAACAGTTTAATTCATCACAGTATTTAAATATGGCCTTCAATTCAGGATCCAACTGCTTGGCATGAAGCAAAGGCAGAGTTGCCCTAATGTGGCAGCTGAGCAGTAGCATAACTAAGTGGAGGGAAAGGAGTAACAGGGGCTTTGGCCACAGCAGTGCTGCAATTGGTATGGCAGCAGCTAGCTCTCCCCCAGGCATTGCATGGCTGTCCAGGTCACTGAACTGCCTGGCTACCTTTGTGCAGCTGAGCATGCTCCATGACAGAGCAGGGTCCTTTATGGCAGTGGTTCTCAACCTTTGTTGTACCAGGACCCATGTGTAAACATTGATGGCCAGTCCTGCCCCAGTGGCCCTCTGCCCCCAGGTGCCAGTCCTTCAGTGTGTGAGGTGGGGGGGGGAGGCAAGAGGGGCCCCAAGCAGCCCCAGTCAGCCCCTTGCAGACTGGAGCTCTGCCAGCCTGCAAGGGAAAAGCCACAGTTTCCCACATGTTTCTCCTTGAAAAGAGAATCCATTTTTAAAGTTTATTTGCAGTCCTTTCATATATTCTTGCAACCCACTTTTAGGTTGTGACCCACAGATTGAGAAACGCTGCTTTATGGTGTCTGTAACATAGTACCTACTCCTCCTGCTCCACACACACCACAGGTTGCCTGCATCTCAGCTGCTGGGGCAGTCCCCATGGGCTTAGCTCCAGATCCACAAACCTGTTTGGGTGTCCAACTCCTCTCTAGCCAGGCACCTGGCTCTCCTTGAAATGCATGTGGGCTTGCGTATCCTTTTCTTCCTTCGTCTGTGGCAGCACTTCTCAAGCCGTGGGTCACAATCCAAAAGTGGGTCCCAAGAATATATGAATGGGTCATGAACAAACTTTAAAAATGGATTCTCCTTTAAAAGAGAAGAAACATGTTGGAAGCCGTGGCTTTTTCCTTGCAGGCTGGCAGAGTTTCACACTGGGGAGCTGGGGCCTGGGGGCACTGGGTCGGGACTGGCCATTAATGTTTACAAGTGGGTCCTGGTACAAAAAAGATTGAGAACCACTGGTCTGTGGTGTTATATTGGGTATAAATTGGCTCTGCGAGTATGTGAAAAAAAATCTGTTTAAAATGAAAAGCCTCCCTAGGACAGTGTTGTGTTTGGGACCCTCACAGTATGTCTCTGCTGCTTTCTCAGTGCCCCTTGAAGCACCACTGAGAAACACCCCTTGCCTGCCCCTCTCTCCCCCTGACACCTGTGTTCAGCACATGCTGAACCAGCTAACAAGGCAATGCAGCTGCCTTAAGAGTGCCCTCTCCAGTGCTCTCAGGATCTGTCCCCAGCAGTGGTGGCATAAGCGTTAGCACAGCACAGCACAGGGCCACTGGCTCGTTTGTGTGTTTGGCAAGTGCTGAATGGAAGCAGGTTGACTTGGGAGTGTGCCTTTTGGGAATACTGAGGAAGTGGTATAGATGCATCCTTAGGTACCACAACTGCATGCAAGAGCCTGACTCACTGGAGGCTGTGACCTCAGCCCACAGGTGGGAGGATTTTTTTTTAAGGAAAATTTTTCATGTTCCAAGTCAAATCAGCCAAATCAATTCCAAATCTGTGAGTCATTCAAGAACCAAATGTGGCCCTACTACCGGCAAACATCCTCCACCCCCGCCTGGGGCTTCAGATGCTTCCAGATCCTTTGGCAAGCATCCTATGTGCAGGTCCAAGCCCGGAAGCTCGGGGTTCGGATGCCCCTGAGTTTGGCTTGCCCTCGGCCATGTGGCCACAGGAGCAAGCTAGGGAGAAGCCTCCCATTTCCATAAAGCTGGCGTGTAGCTGGGATCCTCGCACTGGAAGCTGGTCAGTGGGAAACTAACTATGAGGCTCTCGTAGGGAGTCCTGTCCGCAAGCAGACAAGGGTGCAACCCTCCACTACAGTGCCTTTTAATTGCATTATCTCAGTCAGGGTATTTCCCCTGCCACCATCCTGGCCATGGTATTTCCCC